CCCCCCCCTTAGCTCTTGTTCACCTCTTTCTCTCGCCCTCGCTTTTGCTCTTGTTCTCTCCGTTTTATTTACTTTCTCCCTCATCCGCACCTTCATCCTCGCACTTGCCCTCGCCCTCGCTTTTGCTCTTGTCCTCGCCCCCCTTTCGCCCTTGCTGTCGCCCTCTCTTCGTCTTTGCCCTCGCCAATTTCATCGCCTTCACCGTGGCCCGTAACCTCTCTCACGTGTTCGCCGTCGTCACCATTTGTGCCCCTCCTACTTCTGCACCTACTAAGCATTTCTTCGGCGTCTCCTGTGTTCTCTCCTCGGCCTTACCCCGTCCTCGGCTTCCTCGCCCGCCTTGCGTTTGCTTCGACTCGTGCTCGCCCTCCCTCGCTCCTGCCATCGCTCACGCCCTTCCCTCGCTTTCGCTCTCGCCCTAGCTTCATCGTCGTGCTAGTCCTTCTCCGTGTCCCAGATGCGATCCGGCCGCTCTCGGCTGTGCAATCGCCCCTGTTCGCACCACCTTTTCGTGATACAGCTACTACTGGGAGCTTTCAAACCCTTTTCTAAAACAATTCTCGTGCATCTAAGAGACGACGGCTAGATACGCTGTCAAATTTCTCTTCCAAATTTACCCTTCGTGAGTATTATGTGTTTGCTAAATCCATCCCTTTACACAAGCATACTCCTCTTTGACACCGACATTTATTCAATGTCACCCTTTCGTCTACCCCTTTCCTGTCCCCAAGTTACCCCTTCCTAAAACACTCCCTTCCCTGGCATCTCATCTATCCGCATCATCAACGTCGAAATTTAAACGAATGTAATCCTTCACACGCGCTGTGAGCAACACCCTCTGCCAGCAAATTAACGATGAGTAGAAACAATATGAATCGCCGACCAATTTCATTTCTGATTAAAATATTTCATTTTGAGGAATTCCCACTAAATAGATTTTCTTCAAAATAAAGTTCACTATAGCTCTTCTTTTTCTTATGGCAGCGTATTTTCTCGATTTGTTTTAAAAATATAACCAAAAAACAATCACTAATGAAGAACGAAATAGAAGCTTCTTGAGAGGAATAAGTGATAGTAACGAACAGTTATCGATCTCAATTTCACAACTATCTGCGTCAAAGGAGCTCATAGCCAACTCATTTCCTTACTTTACCGACAATGCCTAGACCCTCTCATCCTCAAAATAATTCCTCCTTCGCCAACCCTTCGGAAGTCAGTGTACTGCAATGGCTTCTCCCGCTTCCATCACCGCCGCCGCCGCCCCCTTCGCCTCGAGCGCCACCCCCAGCGCCCGCAGTGCATTAGCCCCGGCAGCAGGGACCGGCGGCGGGGGCGCGGGGAGGGCGGGGCGGGCGGCCGCGGCGACGCCGAGAGTTACGACGTGCGGGGGGGAGGCGGTAGGAGCGGCGGAGGCTGTAACTGCGTCCGGACGTCCGGCCCGGCCCCGCTTCGCTCCGCCCCTTCCCGCTTCGTGGGGTCGTCGCCGGTCCTCTCTCTTCCGCCTCCGCCGCCCGGGCGGCCCGCACTGCCCCGGACGCCGCCGTCTTCAGCCCCCGCCCCGCGCCCTGCCCCGCCCCGCTCCGCCCCTGGGCCGCCGCGGCTGCCTCCGCCGCCAATTGATTTTTTTTAGCATCGAAAGCGAGAAGGCCGTGCGCGGCGGCCGCTTTCTCCGCCCGCCGCTGCTGCACCTGACGCTGCGCCCCGCGCCCCGCCCCCAACCCCCATCCTCTCACCAGCCCCTCGCTCGGGCCCCCAGCGACAGCGAGCCTCACGAGAGATCGACCCCCAATACAGATGCTCTTCTACTATTCGCACCCCTCATGCGACAAATGACCCGAAAAAATACTGGCCGCACCGGTGGCTTCAGTGACAACGTCCGTTTTGCTACCATATAACTACACCAGATACCGATCGCGATGAGGGCTCAGGGCCTCACGCGCGACTTCGCAGTTCGGGTGGCCCGGGTTCATGCCCGGCACGGGCTGCCGACCACGGTTTTCGTTGTTTCTCTCTGGCACACGTTGCGAACCGCTGTTCCGTGCTGGTTCCAAAATGACAGGATAGTCTCCCATAATTCTCAGTCTGGCAGCCAATTGCTTTGAACATCCTCTTAGGGGGATCACCAAGGAGCGCAGGGGATCTAAGCATTACTACTATACTCTGTACAGCAATGTCGAGTTCAGCCACGGTCTATAGGATGATTCCTTCTCTCGCCTACTCTGGTTCTTTGTATTCCATGGTGCTGTGATGAGTACCACTCGAATGACGGAGCAGTAGCCTAACAAATAGGCTTCGGATCACAAACAAGCTTCCCTTCCTCATTCTTTTCACCTCGTCTGTCTTACGCACTCGTTTTCCACACTGGCACATCGGGAGAACAGTCGGAAGCTTAGAGCGTGTCTCGACTTTGGCTAAGTCTTACTAGATATGATACCTGGAGGTTTAAGCCAGCAAGTCGACGTGAAGGCCATTGCCTGTATCTCACGTTCCAACGAAACGCAGCTTCCGGGTTATAACATGCACTACATTGACGGTTCTAAGGAATGTCCCCTCACTAATCCTTCACCTGTGCGCGATTTTTTTCTCGTAATCGCCAAACACTATTATCTTTTCGTAGCGTATTATATACAATGGATTATAAAGCTTTTAAAACATGGTAATTTGTAACTACATTCCAAGGTAAAAATATTACTCGGTGCTGCAACAACTTTCCCACTAGCGGGGCACCTATCCTAGATCCCGTCTGGTCTCTCAACATGTGTGATAGTGTACTGTAAATAAGTGTAAGTAAGGGTAAAGATAGGACAAGGAAGAAAAAAGGGAAAGATTTTCAAATCAATTTGAGAAGATAACCAAAAATGGCGCCTGTTCAAAATCTGTAGGTCTCAAATGCGAAACGTGGCGTGGCCAGTTGCAACAGCGTAGTGTGAGAACTGACCACGTGAACGACGTGTCCAAGATAGGACGGGAGGTGAAAGGGAAAAGGAAGAATGATAAAGCCAAAATGAAAGATAATTGAAAATTGGCATCACAAAATTGGTAATCGAAACCATTCATGGAAATGAAATGTACGTTTAAGAGGAATGAACAACAAATTGCCAGAAAGACACGAGTGATAGTTTGAACGTTCTAGAGACGTATGTTACTCAGAATATCAACTTTTTAACAGTAACAAGATCCTATAGTTTTTCGTACTTTCGATAGGTCGAAATATAGTCTTGTGTCAAATGAACGTTGGTTTTCACCACATGTAATGGGAGAGATCTCCATCTCCCCCCCACCCTGACACGCGCCTACGATGTTTACAAATTACATATTCATTAGGTCTGATGGCTTGTATTTGTATGAGAAATGAATATACGAGTACGTGAATACTATATTAAAATAAATTCTAGAACGATCTGCACCCCGACAGTCAGGCAGACAACCAGTTTGCTCTAAAGCAAACGACTTCACTGTGCTTTGTAAGTAGGTCGTAATGAAATTCTTCTTCTCTCTCTGGAAATAATGTTGAAAGGAGTGCATGCATACAAGATAATTTTAAAGGCGATGACATCTGCATAGAATATAGCAAAAGGCTTGGCAAATGAATGCTTTGCATTATATAAAACGAGGAAGGATGTGGTAGTGAAACAAGTACCATAATCTAGACTCTGATCCGCTTTCCGCAACACTGGATGTAGGTTTAATATTCACATAATACTATATTAAAGTTATTGTCTGGTCGTACGTTAAACGGAATACGAGTAATATATTTTAATTTTGTTAAACGTTTTTGTATGTAGTATATTGTCGTTGAATGTCTGGGAGAAGTGACTTTAAGCCGCTTCAATTGATGTTACTGCAGTCCCCTGATAGGGACGTTCAAGATTCGAGTCTCGACGGTGGCAGAATTTTCGTAATAAGCTAGAGAGCTGGGTCCAATTCAGCCGCTGTCTGGAGGAGCATTCTAGCGGTCAGCTGCTCTGATCGGTAGTTTTCCGTGGTTTCTCCGATCAACACCAGGCGAATACAGGAGAAATACTTTAAGAAAGGGACCAACGGTAGCGCGCAATCTTTCCTTCCTCTTCCTTCTCATATCCTCACTCTTTACGTACACTCACTTATGATAACATGCACTACCGGGAGACCGGTCGCGAACCTACAGCCCGATGACGACCGTACAGCCGGCAGCCACCACCACCACTACAACTATTGCAGCTTATTTTATTTATTTATTTATTTACTTATTTATTTATTTATTTATTTATTTATTTATTTATTTATTTATTT